AAGTTTCTTAGCTCTGGAGACGTTCCTTGTAAACTTGGTATTGCCTCATTGAGGTCTTACGAGTTCGAAGCTTCCGACCCGGAGATCATACGGATTCGAGTTTTTGACGTCAGTCCCCGAGTGTTCGGGACTTTTTGGCTCTGGAGCCGTTTCTTGTAAAAAATACCAGAATTCTTTGAAATGTAAAGCGTTTCGATGGAGGAAAAAGTATTCTTTGATTACATGGTACAAGTATACATATTTTCGCTATCAAGGGCTCGGTTATTCTATACGAACTCGATTCGTTCGACCCTTTGGCCGGGTACATCATTTTCCTATCGAAACCCTTTTTGGCACATCTTGACTTCTCCGAGGAGGTGACCTCCCGGGGGAAGCCCCCCAGAATTCGAGGTTGATTGAAGAGAAGCCTTGAATACTTGTTGAGTTTTCCTTAGGTAGCACATAGATGTTGCCTCGTTAAAAACCTTTCCGGTAAAACCCTTCTTGGGATAAAACCCGATCGAAGGAAAAGAGTACAACGCATGCTTTGATAACTAAGGTCTTCAAGCTGGAGATCGCTTCGACTGTTCCATTCGGATGCCTGTGCACAGGTTAGTGTAAAATGTAAATGAAAAAGGGAGATGATTATGCCTTAGTGCTGATGGCGCTTCGAGCCTCGACATGCTTCAATCGTTCGTTCCAGGGACGCGGTATGGTCCTTTTCTCGTTTAGTCAGGCGGAGCTGAGAATGTATCTCGTGATCGCTACTTCACTGTTTGCTTATCCTTTAGCTCCTTCGATGTTGGAGGCGTAGATGCCCGTTCCACATCGTGCACCACGAACATTTCTCTTGCTGCATGCTGTTCTCCGTAGACAGTTTTTATTCCGTCCTTTGTCGGAAACTTCATCATTTGATAGAGGGTGGATGATACCGCTTTGATGTAGTGTATCCATGGCCTTCCGAGCAAGGCGTTGTACCTCATGTCTCCTTTGATGACATGAAACTTGACATTTTGGGTTGTGCCGACCACGTTGACCAGGAGGGTGATTTCCCCTTTCGTTGTCTCGCTCGCCATGTTGAATCCGTTGAGGACTCGAGAGGCGGGTACGATCAGGTCAAGCAGTTTGAGCTGCTCCACCACCCTCGACCTGATAATGTTGGCCAAGCTACTTGGGTCCACAAGCACACGCTTAATTTGAAATGTATTTACTAGAAAAGAAATTACCAATGTGTCGTTATGAGGCTGAGACAAGGCCTCGATGTCCTCGTCGCTGAATGTGAGAGCGTCCTCGGGTATGTAACCTCGAGTTTGCTTTTCTCTGGTAATGGTATTTTTGTTCTTTTGACAATGGGTTCCTGTGGGGTGTCAATTCCTCCAACGATCATGTGGATGACATGTTGTGGGTCATCTGTTTCATTTTTCCTATTCGCTTCTCTTTCCCGGAACTAATTTTTGGCCCGGTCGCTAAGGAACTCTCGGAGGTCGCCTTTGCTGAGTAATCGGGCTACTTCTTCTCGGAGTTGTCTGCAGTCTTTGGTCCTATTCTTCTCGGAGTTGTCTGCAGTCTTTGGTCCTATGACCGTGTGTGCCGTGAAATTCGTACACTAAGTTATGGTTCCTTTGCGACGGATCTGATTGTACCGGTCTTGGCCATCTGGTATCTCTGATTTTACCGATGGCAGACACAATGTCTGAAATGTCGACGTTGAAGTTGTATTCTGACAAGCGGGGTGCCTCCGTTAGTCCTGTGTTCCTGTCGAATCCGGCTCTGCTTACGAGTCCCCGAGGATTCTGACCTCGATCTATCCTTTGGTCATGTCGGGGTATGTTACGCCTTTGGGCGTTTCTTCTATCTTCAGTGTATGGTTGGTACCTTTCCTTGTTTGGCTTTGGCTCCTTTGCTAGAAGCCTTCTAGGATATACTGTGCCTGAGGGGGCTCCTAGTTGGTCGTCCTAGACCCTGATCTTTGATTGGTATCGGTTGTGGACATCCGACCAGGTCACGGCGGGATATTCAACCAAGTTCTTCTTCAGCTGCTTCGAAGCTACCGAGCTTCGCTTGTTCAAACCTTGAGTGAAGGCCTGTACGGCCCAGTCGTCGGAGACTGGTGGTAACTCCATTCGATCCATTTGAAAGCGAGATACAAAATCCTGCAACATCTCGCTTTTCTCTTTGTTTGATTTTGATGACATTGGATTTCCTTGTAGCCACCTTGATGGCACCAGCATGTGCCTTTATGAAAGAATCTGCCAGCATGGCAAATGAGTCTATTGAATTCGGGGCAAGGTTGTGGCCCCCTTAGAAAGTGTTTCTCCGAACCTTTTTAGCAGGACGGACTCAATCTCGTTGTCCTTTAGGTCGTTTCCCTTCACTGCACAAGTGTAAGCGATGACGTGCTCGTTGGGGTCCGAGGTTCCATTGTATTTCGGAAGATCGGACATTCTGAACTTCTTCGGGATCGATTTTGGAGCAACATTTTGTGGGAATGGCTTTTGTACGAACTTCTTCGAATCTACACCCTTCCGGATCGGGGGTGCGCCAGGAATTTGATCGACCCTAGAATTGTAGATCTCCACCTTCTTGTCATTGGCTTCTATCTTCTTCTCGCCCGACTCGATCCTTTTTGTGAGGTCCTCGAGCATCTTTATGATAGCGGGGTCGGCTGCTGACCCATTGTTGCTTGATCTTTCTGGTACTTGTTCGGCTTGAGGAGTCGTTTCTGGTGCCGCTGTGGTTGGAGTTTTTTGGTGGCTTTGCAGTTCCACAATCGCCAGTTGTTGTGCCTGTAACATCTCGAAGATAACGTGAAGGCTAACCTCTTGTTCCTCCCGAGCCGGGGTTTTTTGAGCTTCTTGTTGGTTTTCTTGGCGTATACTCCTGTTGGTATGGGAGCCTATGGCGACGTGTTGAGCATTGCGCGAGAGCACATCGACGGGAATTGGTTTTGGTGCATCCTCAGGGTTTTGTGGTGGTACACCAATACCTGGAACAACTACACCATTCTCTCCATGGTCCTCAAGACTGTTGCTTTCATGTGCGTTCACTGAGTTGGGCATTTTGACATGAAATCAAAGATTTTTGGACAAGAAAAAGTGTGAAAAATAACTTGCGTTATGTAGTGAACCAGCAAGAAAACAATCACTATTATTTTTAGCCCCACGGTGGGCGCCAAACTGTTTACCTTTAATATGATAATTATAATTAGATTTGATTTTGTGGTTCTAAAAATACGTGAATTTATACTTACGTATTGGTGTTTTTTTCTGGATTGCCATTTCAAGTATTCGTNTTAGTAATGTGTCAGGAGAAATTAGTACAAGAAGCCGTGGATACACTTCTTGATAATGGAATCCGGGGACAACCAATGAGGGACGGTCATAATAAAGTTTACAAGTCATTTTCTGATGTAATTGAAGGCAAAGAGGGAAGATTTCGTGAGACTCTGCTTGGCAAACGAGTCGATTATTCAGGACGTTCTGTCATTGTCGTGGGTCCTTCACTTTCATTACATCGATGTGGATTGCCTCGTGAAATAGCAATAGAACTTTTCCAGACATTTGTAATTCGTGGTCTAATTAGACAACATCTTGCTTCGAACATAGGAGTTGCTAAGAGTCAAATTCGAGAAAAAGAGCCGATTGTTTGGGAAATCCTTCAAGAAGTTATGCAGGGACATCCTGTATTGCTGAATAGAGCACCCACTCTGCATAGATTAGGCATACAGGCATTCCAGCCCGTTTTAGTGGAGGGGCGCGCTATTTGTTTACATCCATTAGTTTGCAAGGGATTCAATGCTGATTTTGATGGAGATCAAATGGCTGTTCATGTACCTTTATCCTTGGAGGCTCAAGTAGAGGCCCGTTTACTTATGTTTTCTCATATGAATCTTTTGTCTCCGGCTATTGGGGATCCCATTTCCGTACCAACGCAAGATATGCTTATTGGACTCTATGTATTAACGAGCGGAAATCATCGAGGTATTTGTGTAAATAGATATAATCCATGTAATCGCAGAAACTATCAAAATAAAAAAAGAAGTAGACAATAGTCACTATAAGTATACGAAAGAACCGTTTTTTTCTAATTCCTATGATGCAATTGGGGCTTATCGGCAGAACCAACAATTTAAAATAATACAATTGAAAATAAGAGAGACATTCGAAGATGTTATAATATATTATACCACCGAAAGTTATGTGAAGTGATAAGTATTCAACAACAATAACAGCATCCTAGTAGAATTCCATAAATATTGTCTGGGGAAGGTAGAGTGTACGGAGACTTTACCCCTACCCCGAAGGAGTAGAGAGGATGTTTCCGGAAGACCCTCGGCTCAGAGAANGAACCAGCAAGAAAACAATCACTATTATTTTTAGCCCCACGGTGGGCGCCAAACTGTTTACCTTTAATATGATAATTATAATTAGATTTGATTTTGTGGTTCTAAAAATACGTGATTTATCTTAGTATTGGTGTTTTTTTCTGGATTGCCATTTCAAGTATTGCTCCCGTTGGACTTCTTTTTTATGCTAGTTGTTAGGCAATAGATGCTAAGTGTGAGACTAAAAAATAAGATAAGAGCTTGGAGATAATGCAACGAGCAAACCGAGCAACTGGAAATCGGGCCTTGAGCTGGCTTATATGGAGCCTCGAGCTCGAGCTGGATGCTTAGTTAAGGGCAGTCGATGAAGGGCTAACAATTCTAAGAGCTTTGATGGTGGCTCTTTATGGTCAATAATGAACAATAAATGAAGAACAATTAATGAAAGCACAATAGATGCAAGTAATAAATATAAGCAGTAGAATCAAGGGAGAGTGTGTTTAAGTTAGAGAGCAGAGAATGTTCTTGTTCTTGTATTCAATATTGTGTTATGTATTACAAAATGATAAGGGTCCCCTTTATATATGAGGGGGAATTCCAACATAGTACAAGTGCATTTATTACAAAGATATGTGGCTGGTACAGCCATTTAATGCTACGGTACGTGCTCGTACTAGCCTAATAGGCTTGGTCAGCCTTAATCAAGTGCCTTGGGAATCCCCCGCTTACTTATGAGTGCCACCGATATGCACTGTCTCGAGGTCGAGCATCGAGAGCCTTCAGGAATCGAACCTTGAGCTGAGCCTCGAGTCTCCTGGAGATGATCTCGCAAATTGCCATAATAACCATAAAATCGGACTCCCCGATTTTAACCGTATACACTCTTCTCCCTCTTATCTCCCTTAGACTATATTAGTGTTTTCCAAATTGTGGTAGTCTTAGTTGATTCAGACAGTACTTAGTAGATGCTCGTGACTTGTGACACCCCGATGTCGGGCCTTTGTTCTTTCACCACTTGTTATTTAGACTTATGCCGTGAAATTTTAATAATTAATAGCTTAAAATATCTTATATGAAATATCAAATTGTTTTGGGGATTGTGTTGGCTGGCCTAGTTTCACGATAGGCGTCATCACGACCGGATTAGTTTTGGGGTCGTGACATAAATATATCTTGATAGTATAAAAAATTTCTTACACCGATGATTTTGAGGACCGTGGCTAAAAGATCCCATTCGTAGGTACACCCTTTGCTAAAGAGATCTTCATTTTTTCTGCCCAACATTGTCAATATCATACGCCCGTTTTGCACCAATTCCTTCGACCGGTGCTTTAGAAAAGTTGCGAAATCTCTTTCAAATTGCTCATAATACGCTTTAGTCACACTTGCTGAACTTGTACTTGTCAAGTAAATATGTCCCTTGTTATTCTCTATTCCATCAGGCACCTATAACCAACAATTTAAAATAATACAATTGAAAATAAGAGAGACATTCGAAGATGTTATAATATATTATACCACCGAAAGTTATGTGAAGTGATAAGTATTCAACAACAATAACAGCATCCTAGTAGAATTCCATAAATATTGTCTGGGGAAGGTAGAGTGTACGGAGACTTTACCCCTACCCCGAAGGAGTAGAGAGGATGTTTCCGGAAGACCCTCGGCTCAGAGAAAATAAATCCGTAACAACAACAGAAACACTCGACTACACCCTAACCTATAACCCTAATGCTTTCGATTGCGAACCCTAAGAAAAATGATTTTCGCGTTGGCCGTTGAAAATAAACTTAATCGGCCGATTTTTGATACCGACCAGGTTATATTTGGACCCACCATTTTTCGTCGGTTTTTGGTCGATAATCCTTTAAATCCGGCGATTCAGTCAGAAAAGGGCATTTGTTTAGTTAGTCGTACCCCCAAAGTAGGATTCCCAATATGAATTCGGATTAGTAGGATCCCAAAACGGATATCGAACATCGAGTGGAATATTAAGAAAAATATCATTAATGCATTCTTATATCGAACATCGGGTGATTTCTCTCTTCATATGGTCAACAAAATCATTTCTCCCTTCACTTCTATTTATGTGACATTATTTTCTTATTAATGAGTTTAGAAAAGAATGACACATTTCTATGTTTAAAAATAATTTGATTTTAAGTTTCACTTTTTACTATTAAGAAAAAGTTTTTACTATACCATATGTTTA